CCCATCTGAGGGAGGCTGCAGTCAATGTGAGTCTGACACACCTGGTCGTAGCAGCTTTGTGCTTCCTCTGTCCTTGCAGTCAGTAGGTCCAAGTCCAGGTAATGGGAGCTGTTGTTAGGAGTATTTTCTGAGAAGAATTGTCAGAAAGAGCCAGCATAAGGAACCCTCAACCTGTGCTGCACATTCCATTAGTGAAGCAGGAAGAGAACTGTGGAAAGACACAACTTTTAGGGAACAAAACTGAAGCTGAATGCAGGGACACTCTCTGCAATATTTTCCAGCCTTTCCTAGCTGGGAATGAGTGTCTGTGTGGTTGGCTGGAGCCTACTCTTGATGTGTTGTGTGCTTGCTCTTGTTGTGCGATGCAGAGCTATTCACACCACCAGAAGGGACCCTGTCAGGTCCTGGCAGTGATCCAGTCATGCTTCATGATGGAATTGCCAAAATTCCAAACAGAGTAACAGCCCAATGGATTGTGAGGTTCAGAATGGAGACACTTGCTGTCCAGGTTGTTGCTGGCAGAGCTCCCAGGGCTCCCTGGCACCTCGGGTACCAGGAGCAAGCTGTTGTAATGAGGCAGCCATTCTCTCTGTCTCTCCCAATGTGACCTTAAGTTCCCCCAGGCAGCTTGGCTGTGCTGATCTCAGGCTTGGCAGTGGTCTGGTGGAGCCTGTGTGCCCTGCAGTCTGTCACTGCCAGGGGAGGCTGAGGCTGTGCCCTGTGTTTGCAGATGGCAGTGCTGGAGATCCAGGGGAACGGGGAGTCCTCGTACGTGCCGCAGGAAGCCATCAACAGTGCCATCCAGCTGCTGGAGGATCCCCTGCAGCGGGTGAGCGCGGCCTCGGGCTCTGCATGCTCTGCTGCTGCTGCTGCTGCTGCTGCTGCTCGAGGTCTCACGCAGGTTTCCTCTGCAGGAGTTCATCCAGAAGTGTCTGGAGCAGGACCCGGGCCGGCGCCCCACGGCGCGGGAGCTGCTGTTCCACCCGGCGCTGTTCGAGGTGCCCTCGCTGAAGCTGCTGGCTGCTCACTGCATCGTCGGGCACCAGCGTGAGTACCAGACACGTGGGCAGGGCTCTGCAGAGCCTTGCTGGGCTGGCAGTGCCCCTCAGTGAGCTGCACCCTGGGAACGCCCTCCCCAGGCCCTGCTGCTCTGCGGGTTCCTGCCTGTCGGACACAGGGCTGGGAGGGCTGTGGTGTCCCACCTGCTCCGAGAGCCTCTCTGCACTTTTCATTGCTTTTCTAAGGCTGGAGAGGAACTGCAATTGCTGCAAGCTACTCCTTTTCTTTTTAATAGATATGATTCCTGAAAATGCTTTAGAAGAAATGACAAAAAACCTTGACATGAACGCGGTGTTGGCAGAGATCAACCACGAGGACAGGGAAGGAGTCAAGATGATGTGAGTGCCCACGGTGTGCTCAGGGGAGCAGTGCTGGGACCCTGGTGTGGGCACTGGGATGCTGCCCATCACCTCAGTGCTGGTGTTTCCCCCTGACTGGGTGCCAGTGGGAGCTGCTGGAGCTGGAGGGGAAGGAGCAGTCCCTGTGTGGGCACACACACTTCTGGGGAGGGCTGTTCCTGGGTGGAAGGAGACCTTGCACCTGTTTCCTGCGAGTAGATTCTGTGCAGCTGAGATGAATTGTTCCCCAAATGGGCAGATTAAATGAACGTGCTGTAGTTGGAGCAGACACCAGCAAAACATGGCTTGGGAAGGTCCTCTGACCAGTCACAGACTGGCCAGATGGAGTCACTTTCTCACTTCAGAGAAAGGGTTACTCAGTGTTCTCCTAATGGAGCATCTTATTCCACACTTGCACAGGGAGAGGCAGCTGGCAGTGACACACAGCACTGCTTGCACTGGAGGGGTGGCCCCTAAGGGAGCAAGCAGAGTGCCAAAAAAGTGATGTACATTTTGGATAACAAAGCCTTGGCCAGTCAAGGGATTAGACTAAGATGTGAATACTCTGTTCCCAGGGAGCCTAGGGTGCTTCCAGGGAGCCCAGAGTTCTGGGATGCCCAGGCTGCTGAACAAGAGTAAGATGACAAGAACAGCTCAGTCTGTATAAGCAGCTCTCTGAGCCACAGAGACCCTTCCAAAAGCTGACATTCCAGTTGTCCTGGTGCTAGGAAATGTGGTGTGAAATTCCCTTTGGAATGTTTTGGATACAGTTTCAAAATGGAGGACAACAAGTGAACGACCAGAGCTGTAAGGAGAGATCCTCACACACACACGGGATGTCAGCCTCTGCAGGTGTGGCTGTCCAGGGGTGCCAGCCTGGAACTTTCCTTTTGGTGGTGCCATACTTCAGAGGTGCTGGACAAGGGAGAGAAAGCAGCAATCACTTGAAATGTCAGCATCGTTTCTGGATGGTTCATCAGACTGCCATGCAAACCAAGCTGCTAGAGGAAAATTGGAAGTTTTTGTTAGAACCGACTGCTGTGTCAGAGGATAGGATGATCCCAGCTGCTGGGGCTGTGGCAGGGGCTGCAGGGTAGTCTGGGAGCTGGGGCAGGTGTGAAGCCCATAAAGCACTTGAGGACATCCTGTCAGGCTTCCAGCAGCTGTGCAGCCCTTACCTCATCTCTGGAATGCTTCGGAGCAGCCTTGAGACGGGGGTTTGGCTGTCCCAAGCGCTTGCTGCAGCCAGGGACCTGGCATGGCAGGTATTTGTGAAACAGCTCACCAGGGGCAGTGTCACTGGGCCGCCCTCCAGATGACTGCATTGCACAGGTGTGAGGGCTGTGGGGCTGGCTCTGCCACAGCTGCTGCCTCACCGTCTGCTCACACAGCTGGTTATGTCCTGGAGGGAAGAGAAGAGCTTGTCACACCGGTGGCTGCCTGTCCATGCCCATCCTGCCTGTGGACACAGCCCAGGACATGGGGATGTGAAACTGCACCCCAGCTGACCCCAGTGCATGGTACTGTGAGACGATTTCTCATCTCTGGACATTTTGTTTTCCAGCTTCTCACAATCTCCAGCGCTGGAGCTGGACAAGTTCCTGGAGGATGTGAGGTAAGAGGAATTTTTTAAAGACACCTTCCATCATGTGTGAGACTGGAAACGTTCTGGAGAGGTATAACTCAGATGCTGCTCCTTCCTTGCAGGAATGGCATCTATCCCCTCACGGCCTTTGGGATGCCCCGGCCCCAGCAGCCCCAGCAGGTGGTGGTGAAATCTCCAATTGCTCCCCCGTCGGTGAAAACCCCAACTCCAGAGCCCGCCGAGGTGGAGACCCGCAAGGTGAGGCTCAGCCTGGCTGGGGGGGCTCAGCCCCGCTGCCGCGGCCGGGCAGGGCTGTCTGTGGGGCAGCTGCTGAGGGCTCTGTGCCTCTGTTCCAGGTGGTCCTGATGCAGTGCAACATCGAGTCCGTGGAGGAGGGCGTGAAGCACCATGTAGGTTTCTGTGGCTGGGCAGGGGGAGTCACTGCTCTGTGCGGGGCTCGTGGCTCTGCTGCACTGCTGGGGCCTGGGGTAGCCCTGCAGGGCTGCAGCTGCCACCAGAGAGCCTGTGCCAGGCCTGTGCCTGCTGCTGCCCCGGCACCCGGCCCACCCCAGGCCCTGCAGCTCAGGGTGGAGCTGGCTGTGGCTGTTCTGTCAGATCCCCGAGGGGCTCTGGAGGGCTGGTTCCCATCCCAAGGGCATTGCTGGGGCTGCTTTGGGCTTGCCATGGCAGCTTGCCGGACTGCAATTCCTCATGAGAATTTCTTTGCCCTGCAGCTGACACTGCTGCTGAAACTGGAAGACAAGTTGAATCGACACTTGAGCTGTGACCTTCAGCCCAGTGAGTACCTTCTGCCCCTGCCAGGGGCACTGGGCCAGCAGCAGGCTGCAGCAAGGACTGACTCCTTTCCTTGTGTTGCAGATGACAACATCCAGGAGCTGGCAGCTGAACTGGTCCAGCTTGGGTTCATCAGCGAGGTAAGCAGGGACTCGGGTAGGGCCATGGGCCTGCGTTCCTTCCTCAGAGTTCAGTGGTTTGTGCCCTTTTCGGGCAGGAGGAATAAGCCAGGTCCCTGCCCTGGGGGTCTCCAGCCACGCTCTCAGCTCTGAGCGGATGGGGCTGACCCCTCACTGTCCTTGTTCTGCCCAGGCTGACCAGAGCAGACTCACCTGTTTACTTGAAGAGGCGTTTAGCAAGTTCTACTACACTCGGAACGGAGCCCTGACGGCCGTGACTGTGTCATCTTAGCCCCGTGGCTCGGGGCAGCCAGCGTGGCCTCGCTGCCTGCGACCATGTGTGTCTGCCCTTGCTGTCGGGCGCCGCAAGGCCCCAGCTGCAGTGCTTGGAAGCTCATCCTGCATGTGCCGTGGCTGGGCTCATGACAGTCCTCCCTGCCCGCCTCCTCAAGGGGACTTTGCGCATCAGTATTATTTCCAGCCCTGTTTTTGTTGGGATTTGCCAGGTTGTGCTGCGGAGCTGAGGCCTGGCTTGGGGCGTTCTGCAGCCCCACTCATGTGCATGGAGTTTGTTCTGTTTGAATTGTACAAAGTGTCTTTTGCACAGCACAGAAATGGGTTTTTTCTTTCCTTTTTTTTTTCTTTTTTTTTTTTTTTTTTTTTTTAATTTAAAGGTAAGCAGGGGTGAGCCCCTAAGCCCTGCACCCCCGGTCACTTCCCCCCATTGCTGCGCCAGGGGCCCAGGGGCGGCCGAGCTCGTCCCCGCTCCCCGCCCGGCGCTTCGCTCCCGCCGCCGGCTGCACTTTGTTTACTGTTCGCACCGCCGGGGTCAGGCGTGTGCTGGCCCCGGCCCCGCAGCCCCCGTTCCTTACCGGGGCTCCCGGGGCTGCAGCGGCCCCGGGCTCGGTGTCGTCCTGGCGCGCGGCGGGGCCGAGCCGCGGCTCCTGCATCTCATTTCTATCATTTCCTATTTTTAATAAACTGTTTTGTACAGACGCGAGTGCCGCCTCTTGCGGGCCGGGCCGGGGCGGGGCGGGCCGGGGGCCGGGCCGAGCCGCCCGTGCCTGCCCCGGGGCGGTGCGAGCGGCGGCGGCGCTGGCGGCCATGGCCGGGGGGCGGCGGGCGGCGGGAGCGCTGGCGGAGCCGCGGCGCCTGATGCGCACCGGGCTGGGGCTGATCGTGCTGGGCCACGGCAGCCTCGTGCTGGGCGCCATCGTGCACGGCTCGGTGCTGCGGCACGTGGCGGGCGCCCGCCGCGCCGTCACCCCCGAGTACGCGGCGGCCAACGTGGTGTCGGTGTGCTCGGGGCTGCTGGTGAGCGCCGCGGGGCGGAGAGGGGCGGAGCGGGGCGGGCGGGGGGCGGCGGGCCCGGGCCGGACCCCGCTGAGCGCTGCTCTCCCCGCAGAGCATCGCCGCGGGCATCGTGGCCATCCTGGTGTCGCACAACCTGTCCCGGGCGGTCCTGGTGAGTGCGGGGCTGTGGGGGTGCCCGGGCGCTGCCGGCAGCCGCTGCCCTGGACCTTGGCCCCGCGGCTCCTTCCGCCTCGGCTGCCGGCGCTCGGTGCCGCCTGTCCCTCTCGGCCGCTCCCGGAGGGCGGCAGCGCCGTTCTCGGGCGGGAGCGCCGTTCTCGGGCAGAGGCGCTTCGGGGCCGAGGCTGCGGCCGGGCCGGGGGTCCCGGGGGGCTCGCAGGGCGGGCGGGCACGGGGCGGGCGCTGGGCTGGGGGCTCCCGGACCCCGGCCCAGCCTGCCTGGGGTCCCCACGGAGCCCGAGCCAAGGGGTGCTGGCGGTACCGAGCTCACGGGGGTGGAGGGATGCGAAAGGTGCGAGAGCCTCACCCGAGGGCGCGGCTGAGCCCTCCTGGCCGAGGCGGCAGGTGCCGGGTGCCCCTCGGGGCAGCGGCTCTGCACAGACCCGGGTGCCCGGCCCCAGCGCTTGCCCGAGCCCCTGCCATCCCGCTCGCATTCTTGCCGCCTGCAGCACTGGACCCTGCTGGGCGTCTCTCTGCTCAACTGCCTGCTGTCCACGGCGTGCAGCGTGGGGCTGGCGCTCGCCTTCGCCCTCACGGTGCACAGCCGGGGCACGCACCTGGTGCGGGGCTGCGACAGCTCCGCGCTGCCCCTGGACGCCCGTGAAAACATCGCGACCAACGACTGTCCCTTCAACACCACGCGCATCTACGTGAGTTTCTGCAGAGCCCCGCTCCTCCCAGCAGCTCCTTTCTGCTGCCTCTCGTCTTTTCACTCTCCCTCCCGCTGCCCTTCTCTCTCCCTCTCCCCCTCTTTCCCCCGCTGTCCGCACAGTCTCTGCTGGGTGTGTTCAGCCAGCCTGGCGCGGTGCCCACGTTCTGTGACCCCCTGTCCCACAGGACACGGCCCTGGCGCTCTGGTTCCTCTCCCTGCTGCTGGCAGCTGCGGAAGCCGTGCTCTCGGGCAGGAGCTGCTTGGTGGCTCTGGTGTTCCGGGGCATCGGGCCCTGCGCACACGGCTATGGCAGAGAGCAGGTACGGCTCTCCCTGGATCTCCCCTGTGACTGCTGCCTTTGTAAGATGCTGGGTTCTGCTGGGAACGAGGAGGCTGTGCAGGAGCAGGGGGGATGCTGAGTTGGAACCTCTTCTAGCCAGCCCAAGTGCCAGACCAGCACCCCTTCATGGGGAGTTGCAGAGGGACCCTCTTCTTCATCCCCCAGTAGCCAGGCCTGTTCTTTGTTTGTCAGAACACTGCCCATCGTGTGTCCTTGCCACCCTAACTTCTTTTTGTCTTTTTTTTCCTCTCTAGCTGGTCAGGCCAAGTACAGCAATGGAGAAGCCACTCCGTGAGAGGCAGCAGCTCCTGGCAGGAATTTCTGACTCTGCAGTGTAGCTGGAGAGGTGAGTGCCCCACGTGGGCCCATGCCCACAGCAGCCCCCAGAACACCTTTGTCCAGGACCATGGGCAGAGGGCTCAGTGATGCTGGGCCCTGCAGCACAGCCTGGCACTGACACTGCTCCTCTGCTCCCAGGTGGTGCTGCAGGAGCGCTGTGACCCAGCCAGGTCGGGGCCAGGGTGGTGTCACAGCTCCTGCAGGGGGCTCAGGGTGTGCCCTGCCCCCTGCCCCCAGCTCCACCAGCCCACCTGGCACAGACCCTGCAGGTCAGCAGGTGCTGCTGCTCTCCCATCCTCGCCCCAAGCTGCTGGGCCCGTCCTGGTGTGCTGCAGTTCTTGGTTTCTGGCTGCAGTGGTGGGGGTGGGCAGTCCTGGTGCCACTGCAGGCATGGCAGCTGGCTGTGCCTGTGCTCAGATGTCTCAGGGAACAGAAAGGGAAGAATCCCTTTGGTGTAGGTCTCTAGTTTTCTTGAATAAAGAAAGTTTTCCTTTCTACACTGGCTGTTCTAAGTGGCTCTGCCAGGTGAGTGCTGGTTGGGAACAAGGCATGCCAAGGGAAGGGAAGGGCAGCTGCTCTGTGAGCCTGTCCCTGTGCCTGCCACTCCCCAGGCACAGGGATGGTGGCAGAGCTGTGGCCCCAGTGTGGCACTCACCCACGGACACGGGGATTGCAGCCCCGTGCCCAGCAGGTGCAGGGTTCTGGGCCCAGCATCCCCTGGCAAACAGGAGCACTGCAGGGCTGAGATAACACGTTTATTGCATGTGGAAGGTGCTGAGGAACAGGCCTGAAAGCTGCCCTAGTCCTGCTCACTGGAAGGAGAAGCTGGTGCTTGGGAGTCCCCCACACCACCGTCGGAGGAACTCGATCACATCCTGGCCTGCTGGGCTGTGGGATGTCTGCAGAGAGAGACAGCCCTTGGCACTGGAAGGGGCTGCACCCCTGTGCCCCTGGCTGAAGGCAGGGCTGGGTCTGGTGATGCCCAGCAAGCAGCCCTGTCAGTGCAGTGAATGCCCTGGGACCATCACTCACCCAAGGGTGCTGCTGAACCCACCCACAGCCTGTGTCCTGTGGGTCTGGTGATCCTGTCAGTGCAGTCAGTGCCCTGGGACCATCACTCACCCAAGGATGCTGCACTGCCAGCACAAAGGGCTGAACCCACCCACAGCCTGTCCCTGCCTGGGGGCTCTGGCTCACCTTGACAGCCATCACGAATTTGTACCACGCATCCTTCTTCACTTCCCAGCCCGGCCTCAGCTCAATCTTGTTTCCCAGCACTGGGTACCCTGGGCACAAAGCGACACATTCAGAACCAGCTGAGCCCCACAGCAAGCATTCCCCCACTTGGTGCCCTGCCCCACAGCACAGTGTCTAGGGGGAATAATGCTGCCTTGCTCTCTAGGAGACCAAAAGGGAGAAGGGCTGTTCAAAGTGGGGGGATCAAATGAAGATTAAGGCTGAACTGCCCTTGGGCAATGACACCCAAGTGTGTAGGTCCAACGATGGCACCCAGCTTCTGACTCTCAAGCCACAGCCCTGTTCCTGGTGGCCCTCTCCTGCTCCCCCTTCTCTGACCCTTTTTTAGTCCTGCACTGGAGAGCAGGGCCAGGTGCTGCCCATTCTTGGCTGTGCTGTGCCAGCCTGAGCCATCTCTGAACCACAGAGTGTCTGAGCTCAGAACTGCTCTGGGCTCTGCATGGTTCAACCTCCTGTCTAGGCAGGGCCACACAGCCCAGGGCTGTGTCCAGACAGCTTCTGACTGTCTCCAAGGATGGCGCTCTCACAACTTCTGTGCAACCTGTTCCAGTGCTCATCCACCCCACAGTAAAAATGCCCAATGTCCTGCAGCAGAGCTGGCTCCCCACAGCCACACAGTCCCTGCACTGCTCTCGGAGCACAGCCCAGGCCCACCCTGCAGCTCCCACTCCCTGCACCGTGTCACACCTGTCTGAGCTGTCCCGGAGCTCACCTGTGAGCAGGCAGGGCAGGGAGGCCACCCCTGTCCCCGCTGCCACCAGCGAGGCCTCGAAGGTGCTGCGCTCGTCCTGGGGCAGCGCCTGCTGCAGCCGCTGGTCCATGGACACCGTCAGCACCCAGTCCCGCACCTCCTCCCGCTGCTCCTCCTGGGCACAAAGCCAGGGCCGCGCTTAACCGGTGCCAGGCTCAACCGGGCTGCTGCTGCCACTGCTGCTGCCCCACGGCAGCGGGAGCACAGGGGAGAGCAGGGAGAGCAGGGGAGAGCAGGGAGCACAGGGGAGAGCAGGGAGAGCAGGGGAGAGCAGGGAGAGCACGGGAGAGCAGGACAGCCCCACGGCAGCAGGAGCACAGGGGAGAGCAGGACGGGCGTGCGCGATGTGCACACAGCACACACTGCATGGTGCACGGCAGGGCTTGAGTGTGGGTGTGCTGGGGGCAGAGAGAGAGAGGGAGAGAGAAAGAGAGTGTGTGTGTGGGTGTGGGTATGTGTGTGTGTGTACAGGTGTGTGTGTGTGTTTTTGTGTATATGTACAGGTGTGTGTGTGTGTGTACACAGTTGTGTGGGAGTGTGTACACAGGGGTGTGTGTATGCACACAGGTGTGTGTGTACAGGTATGTGTGTGTGGGTGTGCACACAGGTGTATTTTTGTGTGTGTGTTTGGGTGCGTGCAACACGTCTGTGCACATGTTTGTGTTCACAGCTGTGTGCACGTCTGTGTGTGTGTACAGGTATGTGTGTGTACATAGGTGTGTGTGCACACAGGTGTGTTAGTTTTTTGTGTGTGGGGGTGTGTACAGGTACATTGTGTGTGCAACACGTCTGTGCATATGTGTTTGTGTTCACAGCTGTGTGCACATGTCTGTGTGTGTGTGTGTACACACAGGTGTGCGTGCACACAGGTGTGTTTTTGTGTGTGTGTGCTCACAGTGGAGGGACAGGCAGCAGGTGCCTGTGTGTGTGTCTGTGTGTGTACACAGGTGTGGGTGTGCACACAGGTGTGTTTTTGTGTGTCTGTGTCTGTGTGCTCTCAGTGGAGGGACAGGCAGCAGGGGCCTGGGTGTGTGTGTCTGTGTGTCTGTGTGTCTGCCTATCTGTCTGTCTGTCTGTGTGCTCTCAGTGCAGGGACAGGCAGCAGGTGCCAGTTCTGGCTCCGTTTCCATCCCTGCAGCCTCTGCAGTGCCAGCCTTACCCCAGTCCCCGTTCAGAGCCCTGCAGTGCAGCACTGCTGAAGGGGACAGGTGACACTCACAGGCACGTGCTGATGGGCTGGAAGGGGCACCTCGAAGGGAATGTCTGTCTGCTGAAAATCAGAGTGGTCCAGGGAGTCCAGGTTCCCTTCCTCGATGGCCTGCAGAGAAGGGCAGAGCAGTGGGCTGTGCCAGCTGCAGCGCCCACAGCACAGCTCATGGCCCTGCCCATTTGTCGTGGTTTGACCGGAAATGGGATATCTGGGATATTTTGTTTTGCTGTGATTACCAATGGGTAATTGGAATTTAAGATGGGCACTTAGTTTGACCAGTGGGACATTTGGATCCGCCTCTTGAGACTACGAACTCAAGGGGTTAAAAGCAGGGCTCTTGGCCTTCGGAGCTCTCTTGGGATTTCCGGCGTGAAGAAGTCTCTCCCCCGGCCCAGTTGCTGGCTGGGCTGGGGGAGGGGAGAGCCACGTGGGCCATCTACGGTAGGCCCGGGTTCGGAGGAAGGGTGGCAGACCCTTGAGCGACCTGTTTATTCCCCCCCCAGAGAATGCAGCCCGTGCTCGAACTGTATATCTTGAAACTTGATATCATGTGCCGGCAGGCAGCACGGCTGGGAGGAGAAAGGGGGGGGGGGCAGCGGGCAGTCCGGCCGCCTGGGAGACCTTTTAACCCTTTGGGGAATGAAGGCTTCGCAGAACATTGCCTTTCCTGGGAAAGGGACAGGAGTGGAAGATGAAGGAAGAAAATTAGGCCAGTAAGGAGGGTCTGGCAAAGGGAGAAGAGAGATGTTGAAGGAATGGAGGAAGATGGAGTGGCAGTTTTTGCTGGACTCTTTTTTGTTGTATTTCCATGGACTGTTTCCTGGTGAGGCAGAGGCTGTATTGCAGGGGGAAGCGGAGGCTCGGCGTCAAGAGAGTTTGGTTTTGAGACCCCTCGGCCCCAGGGGGTATAGAAGACATGGGGGGGACAGAGGTCCCAGGATTGTGACTGTACTCTGCTTGGAACGAGACGAGGCATTCTTAAAAGGCCCTGAAGGCAGGCCCCTGCCCCATCCCATGCCAGGTGGTGAGAGCACCTCGGCATGGAAAGGAGATGTCACGAGGTAGCAAGATACCGGGCGGATTGCTGATTGTGACAAGAAGTCCGTGGCACAAGGAAGGACTCCGTCTATCCCTTATGAGCTGAAGATTTGATTTTTTTTTCCAAAGGGTGGTGCCAGACCGAGTGTGGATAATTTTTTGGGAAATGTAAATGTGTTTGGGAATTTGGTGGGAGGAGGATAAGGAAGTGTTTCTGTGTAGTTTTCATTCTCCTTGTTTTTTTTCCCTGTGTGTGTGTAGGTTAGTAATTGTGTGTGTAGTTTAGTTAATAAACTTCTCTTTATGTTTAAGTTGGAGCCTGCTTTGCTTATTTCCTGGCCACATCTCACAGCAGATATCAGGTAAAAGGTATATTTATGGGGGCCCTGGCTTTGCCAGGCCCTAAACCATAACACCATTGGTGACCAGGCCCTCCTGCCAGCCATGAGCACACTCTGCAGTGTCCCAGACTCTGCCCTGTGCAGGTGCCTTGCAGAAGGGAAAGGTGTAATTGGGTGCTTTTGTTTTGTCCCAGCTGCTGCTGACAGCACCTCAGAGTGGGGCACAGTGAGGTGTCAGCCCCTTGGATTTGGGGTTTCTGGTGGCCAGCCCCAAGCAAGGGACTGAGGGGACTCCCGAGTCCTGCATCACAGGGGACAAAGCACTGAGCCTGGCCTCCACCTCCCAAGTAGCTTTTCTTCCCTTGGAACAACCTGAGTGATCACCCTGAAAGCTGTAATGGCATCTGCAGCCATGAGGATGTCAGGTCTAGATTGCCGACGTGCTCTTTGCTGCCACATGCCCAGTGGCACTGGCACACCAAGGTGACCTGGGCAGGGCATGGCAGAGCCCCCCACAGGCAGTGTGGGGGTGCCCCCTGGTCCAGGCACACGCTGGGTGGGTCTGGGGGCTCTCCCCATCTCTCCAAGCTCCAATGTGCTGCCCTGCAGGAGCCTCAGGTGAGCCTTGGCCAGCCTGGGGTCTGCAGTGGCAGCAATGGCAATGGCACTGTCCCCTCAGAGAGCCAGCCCTCCCTGTTACAGAGCCAGCCCTGCCTGCCCCACAGGGCATACTCACATCTGACAGGTCCAGGAAGCGGTTCAGGAACACAAATGCCATGTTCTCCCAGCTGACTGCCTGGTATGGAGAGGAGCCCTGGGTGAGAGTGGGCAGCTCATCGTTGAAGCAGTTTTTTGTAATACTTTGAAGTAGTTTTGTTTTGTATCCCCATATTTTTCCCAAATGGTTTATCCCAGACTGTACTCCCTCCCTTTACCTGTGTTATCCCTCTCCCTGGATGAGATCACCCCCAAATCCCCACCCTGGCTCTCTGTCAATCACTCAGCATCCCATCCCCTCCATCTAGAAGCATTGGTCCAGCATGTTGAGTGATCAGCCAGAGGCCAGGGGTC